TAGTTTTTGAAGCAAATACAGTATTTTTCTGGGGCTCCAATTTGTGTTTGTATACTATGAAGAGGCATGTCCAATTGATAAGTGTCCGTCTTATAATTCTCTGGTAAAAATACACTTGTTAGGTCATTGTAACAGTCTTAGCTTACTAGACTAACTTTACTATAGCTATACTGAAGCTATTAAATTTTTTGTAGGTTGGCACTGTTTTAACTGCTGAAGATGCTAAAAAAGCAATAAATGCTGGGGCCAAATTTCTTATGAGTCCTGCAATGGTGAAGGTATTTACAGAGCTTAGTGATTATTGAATTAATTTCTTCTTCCTAGTTTCCTTATTCATTCAACTGCCTCTTGAAAGCTAGTCTAAGTAAAAATATTGTCAATCTTTTTCTCAAAATTTATGAATGACACTTCTTTCGTTTTTACTGAACATTCTCGCTTGTTATCAGGACATTATTGATGATGTCCAATGCGGTGTTCTATATATTCCAGGTGTTATGACCCCTACAGAAGTAAGAACATCTTTTCGACCATTCTATAACGGCTATACTTTAGTGCTGATGTTTCTACTTAAACCTCTTAACTTGTCGAGGAAATCCTACTACAGCAAGAATGAATATAAGGAACCCAAAAAGATAAGAAATTAACTTATGGCAATGTTAGAATTTTTCAATCTGTCAAGTCTCTTGTCCTGCCCATTTACCAGTCATCTGCAGCAACAATATTTTGCATTTCATGTTTGTAGCAATGTCCTGAGTTGAATACAACTTTTTTGCTAGTTTTTGTTTCTCCATTGCAAAGGGCATTAACAGCACTAATTTGCTATTCACAGATATTGTCTGCATATGCTGCCGGTGCCAAGATTGTTAAGGTGAGTCTTGTCACATGCTATTTTTGACGATTTTCAGTGTGGGAAATTTGTTCACCATTGAGATAGAGTGTAGCATGTGGTAGTTGCATATTCACCTTTTGCTGAATGTATTAACTTCCTAAATGAATAAAACATTAAAATTTAAAACTGAATGTTAGATATTTAAAGAACTTCATGGATACTTTCTTTCTTTTCTTTTTTCTGAATAGTACTCGTTTTTTTTTTCTCTTCATGAAGATGTTAATAACAGGTGAAAAAATGTTTTGCATCTAATTGGGTACAATTTTTTTTGTCTACTAATATTATATTTAATGGGATTCGAAATATTGAAGTTAAAAATTGATGATAAATTTATGGCCTTTGAGTTAATAATTTATATGTAAATGAAAATTTTTTAGTGTTCTAAACTTTATAAAAGTTTAATGCTACAGCCAACCAAGCTCCATATCTTTGCGTGGCAAGATGTTGTACCTGTAAAAATTACATTATATTATTCGAGGTATTTAGTTGATTATTTTATTCCCTCCCTATGTGTTTGTTTACAATTTAGGTTTGGTAAATGACCATATTATCATTGACTTGGTGAATCAGTTGGTGTTTAATATTGAATCAGATTGTAGATTTCATTGCATATGATTTATGTTTTTACATCTCTTATCTATCAATTTTTTTTTGTTGCACAACAAAAACATATAAGTACGCATTGTTTGAATAGTGATCTTGGAATGCATGCCTTCTTAACCTTGTTTTTAATGGTGAAGTAGGTTTATCCTGTTTCGGCATTAGGTGGTGCTCAATATATATCAGCAGTTAAGAAGCCTTTTCGTCACATTTCAATGGTTGCTTCTCAAGGCATAACAATAGGTAGGTAACCACAACACTGTTGCATTACTTCTAGAGACCCACTGATGGGACTGCATGCTTTCTGTTGACAGTGATAAGTGATACTGTTTTTAAAGGAACATAAGCGAGATTATTGCATATTTTTTCTTTTAGAAGATGTTGGGATTACTTATTGCTTATAAGCAACTTTAAGTACTCTGCTTTAATTTTTATGTTTGATGACATAAAAGTTAAGAGGCTTTTTAAGTCCTTAAAAGCAATTCTGAGAAGATAGAGAATAAACACTATTCCTAAACTCGTAGGTTCTTCTTTTTTATCTAACTAAATTTGTCTAATTATCCTCTTGATGTCTTTTTTAAGTTTAAAATTGACAAAATATATAATAAAGTATAATATATTTGTAATAAATATATATTTTTATTTTTTTACTAAAACAATTGCTTATTTAACAATCAGCATTTTATCCAAACATATGACTGCTTATTTTTCATA